CTTTTACAGTCAGTAAGTCAATTCGCACAGATTGTACAGTATAATAAAAGAAGAAAAGACAGTACACATTATGCAATTATTAAGTGATCCCAAATGCATAGTACAAATTATAGTACACTTTTATTGGGATGTATCTAGCAAGATCATTTATGTTCTCACTCATACTCCTCATCACTATTACCAACTCAGTAGGAAGCTGAAATAGAATGCATGAGGGGGAGTAGCTGCAGCTGGGAAAACTACAGTCACAATAGTTTGAAAAGTGTTTTCAAGGCTGATACACTTTTTTAAAGTGAGAAAGTTAAATGTAAAATGCCTTAGGAGCAGAGGCAAAGTCGAGGTTTCTGCCAGCCACATGTTGTTGACATTAATGAATTGTATATATCTAGAGCTTCATCCACATTTTCTAAATGCTGTGATTTTTTTTTTTCCAACTGCAAATAATGAATATGGATTTTTCTCTCAATATCTTTTAAAAATTTATTACCAAAATCCTTATTGAAATCTAAGCATAGGTATGCAAGATGCATTTGCCTAGTATTTTGGATTTAGAACACTGACTTGATTAGAAATTGTAGTACTTAAATCTGTAAGTGCAAATCTGGAAAGACTGATCCCTTTGTGTTATAAATTCAATTTGATTTTGTAATTGTATTTGAGCACCTAATTCTCAAAATGCTCAGAACATAATCCTGGACAAAATAAATTATGTTGTTGCTTAGCTTAGCACTAGAGCAAAATTGACAATCAAGCCACAGCATTATCTCTTCTGATTAGCCTGTGTAGCAAACTGCTTCTGGAATGCAATAAATGAGATCAATTACTGCTTGCTTATATCTCAGAGTAGAGTGCATCCTCCTTTCAAGTTCTCAGCTGTTGTTGTGCTCTCCATGAACTGGTAAGAAGCGCCACAAGAGAATTTCACTGCCATGAACTTGTGCTGTTGTTGGGCAGATATGTCTGAAGTATTTTGAGTCGAAACGGTAAGTGTTTAAGTGAGGGAAGGAAGTAAAAAAACTGTAAAAATTGCAAATATTTTCTTTACTTCTTGATTTCATATCTACCTGTATTCATCTCCCAGCATGAAGGAAAATACATGAATTGTCTGTGGATAAGCTGTAGTTAATTTGTAGATTATCTATGACTTGTAGAGGAAAAAGGTTTATTCAGAAACTTTTCCACCCTTAGATTGCTTTTCATAGGAGGCTCCCAAGAGGATTGAACTATATTTTCCAGAGCGTCCACCATTTATGAAGGCAAACTTTCCTTCCGGGGCATTTTACAACGTAGATCTCAGCCTCACTAAAAGCAATTGTATGGAAAGGTAAATAGCAAAGGGAAGATTTTTGTCTTCGTTTGTCTTTCCAACTTCTTTTCTGACATTGGGAATCAATGAATGGACATCTCTAGTGAAAAACAAAACTATCTACAAGAAAAACTTGTGGCCTTGATCTGCTAAAGGAAGACTCATTCTTCTAAAAAAAAAAAAAAATTAAAAAAAAAAATCAATGTTTTACCTCCAAGAAGAGTGTTTGAAATGAAAGTTTTGTTTTAAATTCAACATACAGATGCTAACAAATCTATGTACTAATTTGTTTTTTAATATACTTCTTCTTTTTTCCTTATATCTAGCTTGGTTATATCCTCAAAGGTCTGGGAAGCTAGTAATACTGTACAGTGAAGTCAGTGGGTTCTTTTCTGCTGATTATCTTGAGTTGCATCTGGCATTAAGATACGGTTATTTAAAAAAAAAAATATTTAAATTGCTGATGGCAGCATAGTAGGTTATTTGTTAGCATTTTTAGTTAGTGTTACATTTGCAAACCTAATAGTTTAATATCAAAATTTTCATAGCAGACAGTATTTACAAAACAACATGATATACTGCATGATCTTCACTAAGATGTGACCAACTGTCTGAGGAAGCTGTTATGTATGCCCAGAAGTAAGTTTACTTGTTTTACAAAACCAGTGAAAATTGAAATGCCATCTCTGGGGACATTCTGCAATGTTTTCATATTTAGAGCAGACCTAGGAGAACAGAGTCCAACCAGAGGACAGACTATCATAATGGCTGCCCAGGAGCAATAGGCAGTAGCACCATGGAGCAAATTGCTTTCAGCATTTGACAATGCCAAGGTTTTCTGGATTTTATACCCTGATTACATGAGAATGGAAGTCTTTGATCTCAACAGAGTTGACATGATAATTTGCAGCAGAAGCCTCAAAAGGCTGTGAACGTCAGCTGTATACAGTTTGTGCATTATGGAGCAGTATAAGATAGTTGCTTATTTCACAGTTTTATGGCATGTTCTTGAAGAGGCTGAGCTATGTCTATTTGGAGCATCATTCTGCTCTCAGTTTTAATGGAGTTATACTGACATCATTGAATTGTTTTCCTTGGATTTATTCATTCCTTTGTGAGTAGAGAGGCATGACCAAATTTATAGAGGCTTCAAAGCCTTGTCAGTGTTTAATGATATCCATTCCACATGTTTGGTTTCCCTAAAAATTAATTAGAGTGCAAAAATGGAAAAAAAAACCAAACAAACATTTCAGCAAATTGTTCAGATTTTATGGCATATTTTAAAACTTTATGTACTGATTTATTATATTATAATATGCTTACAGAGCTGAGATCTAAACAACATTTATTGTTATAGCTGTCTTGGATGCTGTAGTGTGAGACAAAGCAATTGACTCTTCTTCAAATATTTCCTGTCTGAATACACTTTAATAAACAAATAAACCACTTAAAGAAGAAACTTATTTAAAATAGTAATAAATAAGTCTCTTCAGAAAGCAACATCTAGTACACTAAGAAAAGGGCATTTTTGTTAATGTAGATGTAATTCTACTGGTATGTATGTTCATAAGTGATCTCACTGTGACATTTAAAAAAATCATTATAGTTTAAAACAGTGCCATAGTTATTTCTGGCTATATTGCTAAGCTTACATGGGAATGATTATATTAAACTGGCTTGTAAGTTGCCTATTGTTAGCCTTCAACATAGTCTGTCCAGTGAAGCCGGATAGTATCTGTTTTTCATGTCATGTCCTGCTTTTCATCTGTATTTCCTGCTGAGTTAATTAAGAATTCGGGGTTTTTGTATGAGAAGAGGAAGACACATGTGACTTTCCCAACAAAAAAAAGTCGAGGTAACCAGGACTAAAGGGAAATTTATCTTTTCTAACTACAGTACCTAACAGTGACCTCTGACAGGGTTTGTCAAGCATATACTCCTTGCAAACTTCTTCAAATACTCCACACCTGCTTCTCCCCGTGGCTATATACCATCCCCACAAAGACTTTTATTGTGCCTTGCAGAGACTTAGGAACAGTTTCTACATGCTGTGGATGCTTGTTACTTATTACAAGTGAACTCAGACATTAAAACAGTCTGAAAGTAGTGCTGAGATATGTTGACAGATTTAGGATACTTATAGTGTGATCAATTAAAAAGATGAAAATTTTGTTTATTGCTTTCCAGCAATTAATTATGGAGTGCTGCTGTTCTTTCATACCTATAATACTTTGTTGAATTTTCTTTGCTGGTTTCGATTTGTGCCCTGGCCTTTATGAGTTTCTTTCAGCCAGAAAATGGAGAGCCTTTTTATTCTCTCTTTGTAGCTCTTCACAATTTCTTGGCTTTGATTTGAAAAGACACTGGTAAAGCACTGTGTGTCCACTGTGCTTTGTTTGAGTGTCTGTTAACTTCAATTCTAACTCACTCTGCCATTACAAATATCTCAAAAGAGGGGAAAAAATTCCCTCCAGGGATACCTTCTCTCCAAAACTTTCAGCTAGACCTGAAAGTTTATGTACCAAAGTTAAGTGAGATGAGCAGTGAATGCTGGATTTGGATAATCTTCATAGTTGATTTGATGTCCCACAAACTGGGATAGATTAGTTGGGTGATGCTCACATCCCTCTCAGATCTAAAGTAGGAAGAAATCTATAGATCTTGAAGGGTACCTTGAGTACAAGCCATTACTAATCCATAATGCACTACGAATTTAAGCTGTAATTGCCTGTTTACCTCTAAAGTGATAGGGCTAACAGAGTACAGAATGTCCTGGGAGATGACTTTTTACCACTTTTTCCTACAGAAGTGAAAAGTGGCTTTTGGTTGCAGAGCTATGTCCACACTGTTCTTCAAGTACACAATATGTTATCCTACATAAAGCTGCTCTAACTGACAAGAAAGTGCCATAGTTCAGTGGTCATGATGCTATGGATAGACGAGGTGTCCTGCTCCATAATTTTGGAAGAAAACAAACGCATACTTCAGATAAGGTGTAGGCAATGTCATCAGGGCAGACAGCTCAACAGTATTTGTTTTTTATCTGCCTCTTCAAACTAAAACAAAAACACTTGGATTGGTAGCTCATCAGAATCCACCTAGCAAACTGAAAAACATGTTCTTATTCAGAATGTCAGAATGTGTCTTTCTCACTCCCATTTTAATCAATCTCCATTATTTTAGGTGATACAAAGATGAAGCTTTGCTTTAAAACAAAATAAAATAAATCCTCTCAAAAAAAAAAAAAACCAAAAAACCCAACCCACCCCTCCACACACATACAAAAAAAACAACAACAACCAAAAACCAAAACCATTGTCACCAACAAACCAGAACTGCTTACATAAATTTTAGATAAATCAAATTTGAGATAAATTCTAAAATACATTTCTGTGTACATCACTTTTGGTATATGATATTCGTGGAATTGCCATTCTTCATGAAGGCTGCAGTAACTATTGGTTATCTGAAACAATCTTTTAATCTTTTGTTTTATTACAGTGCTATTGTTTGCAATTAATTGCTTCATGTATACACTCCGCAAGAGCACTGCTCTCACTGTCAGCTCTTGTGTTTTTTTAAATGTTTTCATAAATGTATCTGAATTCAGAGTGAAGGACTTATAAATACAGCAGACAAAAATCTCTGGTATAAGTCTGAATGTGATTAAAGGTTGTGGATAAGGTGAAGAATTCTCTGTTTTTTTTCATATTTGTACTGAAAATGTCAGACAAACTTTCAGAAAGTCAGTAACCAGTATTTTTTTGTTCTTCAATTTTTTTAAATATCATTTTTTAGAGAAATGTATAACTTCTAAAAAAGAATAAAGTATCTTAGTATGGATTCATTCTGAGCTTATAGAACATCTCTCAAGTACTAGATCTTGTTTCCAAATTAACTAATTCTCAGGCATAATCATGAACCCAAGCCCTCAACCAGCAAAAAGCAGGGGCTGATTTTTACATCCAAGTAGTAGTAATTTGCTGGGTTGAAATCCATACACGAGCATTCAGATCTGCAACATTTGCTAGTTTGGCTGTGTAACTTATACTGGCTCCCTTTCTGAGAACTGGCCACAAATTTTTTGACAAGCACAGAAATTGTCTTGTTCTGACATGCTGTGTGTTTTTCTGTCTGCTATTGCTAGGCTTTTATCAAAAACTAACAGTATAAAACAAGTCAAAGCACATGCCTTTTCTGAAAGAGGCTGCATCTGCCTCAGACAAACATCTTTGCAAAAGCCTTTGGCACACAGCTGAGGCTTGAATAGCAGATGTTTACTCGCAGTCTGTAAAATGTACCCTGCTATTCTCTAGAAATGCTGGCTCAGCTGCAGTACATTTGGTATTAAGGATTCTGTCACCACTGTGCCAGACCAGCTCAAATGAAATTTAGATCTTTAATTTTCTCTTCAGCCTATAGCACAGTAATAGCTAGCAATTAGAGAATAATTGTGTTGCTTTTGAAAGCTCATAGCTGTAATCAAAATACAATAGACAAAGAAGTACTTACTTTTTTTAGCATGTAATTCTAATCACTCTCATGTTGTGGGCTCTCTGGTCGGAGTAACTTCTTTTGATAGATTCTGCAATTACTTCCATATATCTCTACCATGCTAGATAGAAAAAAGGAAAAAGGAGGAATCAAGATAAATTGCTAAGCAAATGCATGCCTTTTTAGCACTACTCTGATATGAATGTAATTTCACTGTTATGTGACAAGACACTGAACCTTGTTCCAGTTGCGTGTCAAGCATGGTGACCAGTGCTGGCTAACTGGTATTATTACTGGATAAGAGACAAATAGAAGCAGATCAGAACACCATACCGCACTTCTGCGATCATCAGATGTGGGCCATTGACACAGAAGCCTTTCCTGCACATGTGGGAGGGTTAGTTGCCAACGTACTTGTGCATGAAATCCTACAGTCTCAGTGTCATGAATATAAGTTTGAGTAGTGACGTTCTGGTCTGTGTATTTGATTTGGGAGAGTGCTGTTTGCAAACCTAAGTGCAGTTTATATTTCTGAATGACGACTGAGAGATGTCAGCTAGATAAATTGATTAGTTGCTTTTTAAGAGAAGTAATACCCGCAGTAGTGCAATATTTCCAAACTCAGTTTGCACTACACAAATAGTATTCAGCTGGATAATCACTGTGTGCAACAGGCTGAGAGTAGGTTTTCAAGCCCCATATTTAAACAGATTTGCTCTTGTAGTCACACCTGATCTTTCTATACTAGGGGGAGAATCATAAAATATTTAAAGCCAGAGCTTAAGGAGAAATTCCTGTTTTGGTTATTTTTTTTCTGTTGTTGTTTAGTATGGTTTTGCTTTTCTTTTGTAAATCACTGTCTAGTTGCTCTTTTCATCTGTTCTTTCAAGAACAGGTTTTGGAAGACTCTTCAGAATAAACAGAGTTTAGAAATACTAATTCTGTTATGTATTGATTTGACTAGTCACTGTATCACTGTATGGAGATACTGCTACTGGAGGCGCAAGGAGGTGTTCTAGTTACAAGAGAAGAAATAATAGAAATAAGAAGCATGTTATACTGAGATGCAGAGTGCTCTGTACTTGGGAGTACAGCCAGGGGTTATTGTAGTATGACCCGTGGAGCTAGTGTAGAGAGAACCACTCCTGCTAAAGAGACTTGCTGGAGATACCACAGTTCAGGTCAGAAAAAGGAGAGAGAACCTGCTGGGAAACTTTGCCACCCTCAGGCAGGCAGATCAGGCTGTATAGAAGAACTTGTTCTTATTGTCTACACAGTTGGAAGTTTGCCTGCTGCATTTATGAATTTGAACATCTAGAGTTAGGTCTGTCTTTTACATGAAAGACATTAAAGCGATGGCAGAATTCCCTTCCAGTGTTTTTCAGCAGATGGCATTCAGTCTGAATCAGATTTCTGCACAACACCCTTGGAGTAAAAAGAATCAAATAAAGATGCTTATGAAAAAATGTTTTGTTTTAAATGTTGTATGTGCACATAGAAAGCACTCCTTCAAATACAACACTGCATACCTCGGCAGTTCTTGATACAATGGAAAATTGTTAATGGATTTTCACCTTTTTGCTTACCAGTCAGGCTGGTTATAAAATTATTTTTGTATTGTTTCTATTCACCATATGAGACTTGTTTTAGTTAGACTTTTCTGTTCAGAATGATCTTTTCTGCATTTCTTTACACTACAAGTTTCCCAGAATATTAAAAAAAACAAAAACAAAAAGAAGAAAAGCCCAGTTTTTTTTACTATCAAAAACATCTTAAATGCCAGAAATGTTCTGATATTTCAGGGATCAAACATAAATATAGGATGAGGTTGTTATTATTAGATGCCACAACAATCAATTTGATAGGAATGGTATCACACTGTTAATTACCAATGAAAAGGCTATCCATTTTGTTTCATATTTTAAATGTGGGAAACCTGGGCAGAACAGGAGACTAATTAGGCCACATGTTATTTGCACTTTTTTTGTGTAAATTTTTTGTTTGTTGCATAAAAAAATAAAATTTCAATTTTTAAAATGTCAGTGCAAGAATGTACCCATTACATATTATCTTGTTTTCATTCATATTTAAGCATAAAAAAAGAAACAAATGAAAAGAAAAAAAGAAAAAATAAAAAAGGAAGGAAGGAAGGAAGGAAGGAAGGAAGG